GGAAAGAGTTTCCTCTGTACAGGAGATTCCAGGAGGGAATGTCCTCTTTCAACCATGTCTCTGAGGACGCAGCGGGGGAAAGGGAAGCTGGGACTAAGTGAGAGAGTAGCACTGACATATATACGCTACCAAATGTAAAATGGGTGGCTAGTGGGAAGCTGCTGCGTAGCACAGGGAGATCAACTCAGCGCTTTGTGATGACCTAGACGGGTGGGATAGGGAGGGTGGGAGGGAGGGAGGCTCAAGAGGGAGGGGATATGGGGATATATGTATACATATAGCTGATTCACTTTGTTGTACAGCAGAAACTAACATAACACTGTAAAGCAATTATACTCCAATAAAGACGTGAAAAAAAAATGTCTCTGATGCCTGGAACTTAAGCAGCCATCTTGTAATATGAGGGTCTAAGCCAAGGCGATATGCAGAGGGGCAGAAATTTATAGAGGGCCTGGCCTCTCATAAAGTCATTGAGCTACTACTCTCCCTTCTGCCTGAACAAGAGAATCTGGTCTGTCTTCTGGTGAACATCACCCTGTTTTACCCCTGGGACACCCCCTTAACACCCACCCCTCGCCTTTGGTCAGGTGGTTCAAGTGGAGCTGACTAAAGCCTCCTACCCTCAGGGATGATGACCACATAACTCAGGCCTGGCCAATCACAGTGACTCAGAAATGGGCAGGGGACTCACAGCAGGAACATGAGTCATGAACGCAGGACTTTGAGCTATTACAAAAGAAGTGCTCTCTTTTCTAGAATGTTATAACCTTGAGCTGCTGGGGATACTTTGCCCCTTGTACAGGGAGATTCTGCCTGAGAGCAAAGTCAACATGGAGAAAAGCAGAGCCAGGAGACGGAGAAACATCTATTTCTTTAACATCACCTGACTACCTGGATCCATCCATGCCTGAACCAACAGTCTCAAATTTTCATTTACAAGAACCAATTAATTCGCTTTCCAAATTCAGCCAGTGAGAACCTAGGTGCTATTACCCTGAAAAAGTCCTGACTGATACGATTATTGAGCTTCACTATGTGCCAGGCTGTGAAAACAGAGTAGTGGCCAAAACCCAGCAACAATCCCTACACCGAGAGGTCAAAATAGGGCCCCTTTCCCAACCTGGATCCAAAATCTCTTTTGACGGTGTCTTTAGTAACTCTTCAGGTTCACATTCTTCCTCCAGCTCATCCTCCGTCTGCTCTCCAGGGCTTAGGGAGCAAATCTCGTTGGGCATGGATGCATATGTCTCCTGCCTGAAGCCAGGAAAAAGGACGGCAAGGAGAGAAACATAGGTAAATGGGGTGGTAGAGGGGACATGCCTAGGGCTGGGCCCTGTGCTGGGGTCCATGTGAACATACTCTTGGCTTCTGGTCAAGACAGTGCTGGAAGGTCTCACCTGCCACACCACCTCTGCTAGAAACATACTGCCACAATAAATGAGATGTAACAAAGGCTGGGCTCAAGAAATAAGACAAACTCTTCAAGGGCCACAGCAATGGAACAAAAAGCAAAGCAGATGATAGTAGGGCATGAGTCCTGAGCTGCTGGCTTCTGTTCTGGGAAGTGGGGTTAGCAATGAGGTTTTAGCTCCACAAGCCAAAGAGCTGCCCACTCTCCTGGTGCCTAGATCTGCATTACCTCAAGATCACTGCAAAACAGATGGCCCATGTCAGGCCTGGTCCCCATGGGGAAGCAATGCAAAGCCTCAAGACACAGAGAGAGAGATAGGGACAGCTCCAGAGGCGGAAGAGAAGAAAATTCAAAACCTCCCACTCCAACTGAAACTTCCAAACCAAAATCCCAAATCAAAAACCTGAACAGGAATTCATTCCAAATAAAACTGGTCTTGCAACATAAAGACTTAAGAAATATGTTTAGGAAACTCAAAGATAGAAGTGAAGGAATAACTTACATTAAAAGATTAAGAAGGGCTTCCCTGGTGGCGCAGTGGTTGAGAATCTGCCTGCTAATGCAGGGGACACAGGTTCGAGCCCTGGTCTGGGAGGATCCCACATGCTGCAGAGCAACTAGGCCCATGAGCCACAACTGCTGAGCCTGCGCGTCTGGAGCCTGTGCTCCACAACAAGAGAGGCTGCGATAGCGAGAGGCCTGCGCACCGCGATGAAGAGTGGCTCCCGCTTGCCACAACTAAAGAAAGGCCTCGCAGAGAAACGAAGACCCAACACAGCAAAAATAAATAAATAAATAAACTCCTACCCCCAACATCTTAAAAAAAAAAAAAAGATTAAGAAGATAGGACTTCCCTGGTGTCACAGTGGTTAAGAATCTACCTGCCAATGCTGGGGACACGGGTTCAAGCCCTGGTTCGGGAAGATCCCACATACCGCGGAGCAACTAAGCCCGTGCGCCACAACTACTGAGCCCGTGTGCCACAACTACTGAAGCCCGCACACCGAGAGCCCATGCTGTGCAATGAGAAGCCACCACAGTGAGAAGTCCGCACACTGCAACGATGAGTAGCCCCAGCTCGCCGCAACTAGAGAAAGCCTGTGTGCAGCAATGAAGACCCAACGCAGCCAAAAATTAAAAGCAAACAAAAAAAATACCTTAAAAAAAAGATTAAGAAGACATCTCTGCTCCACTGGACCCTTCTCTGATCTCATCCCTCCCCACCATGGGCTGGGTGGGCCCCCTGAGGCTTCCCACCAGAGTGCTCATGGGCTCTCCAAGCACTTTTGCTTTTACACTTCAAAACCCTTCTCATATGCATTATTGTAACTTCCTATTCAAAGTACAACTCCCCTTCTAGGCCCCGAGGGCACAAACGGCAGGGCCTCAGGCTGTCTGGGCCATGGTTGTTTCCCTAGCCTCACTCCTCTCGGGGCCCAGGGCAGGAAGACATCCCTCTGGTGAATGGACGGGATGGACAGGTGGCTGCCAGGACCTGGGGTGGCTGCTCCAGTTCCTGCCCTTCGTGTTCTGCTGCTGCTGCTCACGGTGGTCAATCTCCAGCAAGTGCTGCTTCATGCAGCTGGTGATCTCCGGGCCCAAGTGCCAGATGAACACGCAGCTGCAGAGGCCAAGGAGGGATGTGGAAGAGGGAGGAACAGTGAATAGGGAAGCCATCTGACCCCAGAGCCACCTGGTTCATCACTGCCAAGACCTTATTTCCTGGCCCGGAAAACAACCCTCATCAGCTTAGCACAGGGCTCCGGACCAAGTCAGGTCTACACCCTGGGAGGGGTCCAGGGCATCCCAGCAAACCAAGGCTGCTCTGAAGACCCTGAGACCCAAGGAAGGGGGCTGTGAGGAAGGAGCGTACTATTGATAAACTGAAGAGAGTGCCAAAAGGGACTTCCTTGGATACCAACCATGTGCTAAGGAACTTATGTCATCTCATTTGACTCTCACCATACGATTTTCAAGGTAGATGGGGTCATCTCTCTTTTACAAAGTCATAGAGGGGAAATATAAGTGGCAGAGCTAGGATTTGAACTCAGGTCTGGGCACACACTATCCGAGGAGAGTAAGCTGGCATGCTCAGAGAGCTCTCTGCACAGGCAGGCTGTGGGCATGGGGTTCTGGTGTCTGAGCCCTTGCTCTCTCCTCAGGATAGGTCCCACCCACTCCCAGAGGGAGACCCAGCCGGGGCAGCCTCCAGGACTTTCCCACCTGTCTCCGGATACTGTGATCAAGTGACGACAATCATAGGTGAACTTCATGCCGGTGACGATTTCTGCAAGCAGAGCAGAGAAGCTGTGCTGGCCTTCTGAGCCAGAAGGCTGGGTTGGGGTAGGTTGGGAGGTGTCCCAAGCAAGGAGGCAAACCCACCTGAATGGCCAAACATCTTGGCAACGCACTCGCCGGAGTAAAAATCAATCACCGAGATGCTTTTGTCAGAGCAGCTTGTGGCCAGGAAGGTGCCTGAGGGATCCACATGGACCTGCCAAGAAGAGGACCCACGTGACACTTGGGCTGCCTCCTTCTGGAATAGGCCTGGGTCTCAACACACAACCCCACTGTGATCCTTTCATCCCTCTGATCAGGTGCCAAGGAGGACCGAGGTCTCAGGAGGCCCAGCAGGGCAGCAGACAGACAGGGGGGCCTTGTGTGTGGGTGTCTGTGTATGGTTTTCACCCGGGGCCCCAGCTCCTCACCTTCAGCAGGGACCCTTCATCACCCTGGGAGCCCTTGTAGCACTTCTTCTGCTTCCCGTTCACGGTGTTGTAGACTCTGGGAAGGTGAGAGCAGAAGTGGCTGACATGGCCCTGCCCCCCACCCTCTCTTGCTCCCTTGTTCCAACCTTACCTGCTGCCCTCCTCTCCCCTGGAAGCCCCCAGTACCTCCTGTCCCCCATCCGATGCCTGGACTGAAACCCCGTATCAGGGAATGAGACCCTGTCTCAGGCTGAGGTCACAGAGGTTACGTCTTGGGGTGTCCACTGAGTTAACATCCATCTCCCTGCCACACAGCAAGCTGAGTGCCTGGTACCCAAATTGAACGAGCAAATGAAGGAGATGGAGAACCTCTTCGCACATGCTTATTCCTCCACATCCTCCCTAGTTTAAGCTCAGATGTCCCCTCCAGCGACCCCAGGTAGGGTCGATGTCCTCCCAGGGCCCCCAAAGCCCCTGGGCTCCCCGCACCGCAGCCCCGACCTCTCTGTGCTGTCACTGCCTGGTCAGTCTGTCTTTTCCTCCACTGCACTGTGAGCTCCACGAAGGCAGGGCCTGTGACTCCCCCACTGTCCCTCCCGGACAGGAGCTCAGGGAACGAGGATGAGTGAGTTTATGAGCCACATCAGCAGCTCTCAGTTGCCCCACACAGGCTCCTGAGATCTAGGAGAACCCTCTGTTTGACCTGGAGACTAGGCCTGGGTGAACCCAGCTCCTCAGAAATACCCACTGGGTCCCACCACTCCACCCAGCTTCTCAGGGACCAGGTGAGCAGGGAGAGGAAAGCAGAGCGCTCATGAGAAGAGAGACCCAACCAGGCCCCACTTAGTCTGGCTGACTAAGAGTCCAGGGCAGTTCCTCACCTTACGTTGCGGTCCTGGCAGGCCACAGCCACATACTTCTGGGTAATGTCAATGTCCATGTCATACAAGGTGGTCTTCTCTGCCACGTGGTGGGTACGGACAAAGTGTAGTCCATCTGAGGCCTGGCAGGGCAGGCAGGGCCTTCAGAGGACACCCCTGACAAGCCCCCTACCCAGCTCCCAAGGAGGCTGCCCCACTCTACCCGCTGGGCACTGCGGAAGTAGATGCTCTTGTCTGCCCCACAGCTGATCATCTGGATGTCCCTGTGGCCTGGAGGAGGAAGCAGTGCCTTAGGCAGGGCTGGGCCACTGCTGGGCCCAACTGGGGCTGGGGATCCTAGCTAGGGAACTCTACTATAAGGGCACTCCGCTGGGGGTCAGAGAGGGCTTCCCGGAGGAGGTGAGGTGAGTGCTGGGTGCTGGTAGGACTCTGTAAACTGTGAGCTCTGTGTGAGGGGGGCACAGATGGTGCAGTGGGCAAGGCAGGAACCTGCAGAGCAAGAGCAGACAGGGAAACAGAAGCCAGGGACACAGCAGGGGCACCATGTTTAATTTGGGATTTGGAGAGGTGACTCTGGCCTCACAATGGAGGCGTCAGTGAAGCAGGGAGCAAGGGGAGACAGACAGACCGCTGGGAGGCTCACACCATCAAGAAGGATCAGAATATCCACACAGGGGCTTCCCTGGCGGTCCAGTGGTTAGGACTCTGCGCTTCCACTGCAGGAGGTACAGGCTCGATCCCTGGTCAGGGAACTAAGATCCCGCAAGCCATGCGGTGCAGCCAAAATACAAAGGAATATCCACACAGACTTCGGGCCAGGTCCTGTGCCACATGTGCCTCCCCTTCCTGACTGTCACCAGCCACTTGTACAAATGTGAACCCAGGGGCTCAGAGTCACACAGTCCTTGTCCCAGGGTGCAGAGAGTCAAGATGGGGCCAGGGCTGATCCCAGGCCTTCTCTGGTTAAACACTGTGCTCTGAAGCCAGGCTTCCTCTCCGAGCCTCAGCTCCCGTCTGTTCAATAAGCCTGTATCAGCCACTGCCCCGTGGAGTGGTATGAAGCCCTTGGGACAGTGGCTGCTACCTGGTAAGCATGATCGATGTTCTTACTTTTATTCTTCTTTCTTTATAGAATAAGAATAATCACAGCACAAATACCTTGCAGAGTTGTGGTGAGGATGAAGAAACAGAACAAATATAAAACATGTACAACCTTGGTACAATAGACACTGCTCCTTCATGACAGGACATTTGAGAGCACCCAGGCCCGACATACAAGTTAAGATGTTACTCGAGCAGAAGTCACTGGTTTATAGAAGGGAACGAGTCCCATGTTGGCGAGGAATCCAGAGAGGGCCTGCAAGTTACTACTGGTAATGTTTTGCTTCTTAACCTGGGGTGGTGAGTCCAAGTATTTAGCAATATTAGGACTAGGACCAATCAGAACAGTTGCTGGCTATAAACAATGGGTGTGTCTAGTTCAGACCTACTGACTATGAACCTTGATGTGGATATTCATTGTATTATTCTGTAAACTATTCACAGATTTTTCTGTTCACTTTTTTGTATATATGTTTCATAGAGAAGAATTAAGAGACTGATTCATTCTTTAGCTGGATAGCTTCAGACAGTTTCCGACTGGCTGGTGCCCAGTTTATATGAACTATCAATGTTTTGAGTGTAACGCCCAGTTGAGTCAGCCCAGTCAGAGCAGGGCTCACAGGAGTGGTTTTAGGATGTGCATCCTCTCAGACCGGCTGGGGCTTTTAACAGAGGACCATGCCTTCAGAAGGTGACCTAAAGGACCGACTCCTGGGCCACCCCTTGGCCAGTTATCACCTCTCCTGGATCTAGACCATTCATTAAAGGTGAGGTCACTGCTGGCCAAACTGCTAGATTTGCCGATCTATTCTAACTACCTCTACCCTGTGGAATGGGATGGCCTGAACGGTTTTTTACAGGTGTCTGAGAAGTTTGAGCTGATCAGCTTTTGTCAGGTCCTCATCAAGACATAGCAAACGTTGTTAACCTGTTTTTGCCCAGCTCCCGACCACCTGAGTTAGACAGAGACAGGGCAGAAAGTGGGGAAGACCAAGGACATTAATACATTCTCAGCCACAAGATTATATGTACAAAACACTTCATAGTCAAGAACTTGGAGTAAGTGGACGGATTCCCTCCATGAATGGATTCTTCTTGAATATAGTTTTGAACATGTTCTTGGGTTCTGATCAGTTAAACCCCCACAGGGCCTACTTCCCCTCCTCTTGGAATCCCTTAGGGCCAGGGATCTCCGTACTGGATCTTTTCGAGTCTTGGAGGGATCCCTTCAACTGCCTGGTTGAGCGAGGGCTGTAAAGAAGGACAGCCTTATGCAAAATACCAGGCCTGCACCTACTGGCTGTGTGACTCTGGCTGTAAAGTACAGTAACTGCTGGGGCAGTGCAAGGATCACATCACCCAGCACAGAATTAGCCTCCAGCAATTGTCACCGTCATCTATTTTTTGGCCAAGGTCACCAAAACCCATCCCACCTTGGACTGGCATTCTGATTTCTTTCTGCAGACTAGCACTCATCTAATGTCAGTCTTCCTGGATCAGGGCTGGAGGCAGGTGGGGGCTGGGGGCACACGAGTCATACCCAGCCCAAGAGGATACTCCAAAGCTCTAGCACCAATAACTGTTCTGGAAAGGGCAGGTGCCTCAAGCCAGCATAAGGAAAGTCAGCTCCCAATTTCTGCCAAAATTGACAGGAAGAGGGGAAATCTCTTTCCAGTGGCACAGTGACCACTGAGATCCTGCCCACGAGAGAAAGGCACAGCTGACAGAGGGAGAGAGTCCAGGTAACTTTAAAAAATTCAACCTTTGGGGACTTCCCTAGTGGTCAAGACTCTGTGCTTCCATTGCAGGGGGCACGGGCTCAATCCTTGGTCCGGGAACTAAGATCCTGCATGCCACGTGGAGCGGCCAAAATAAACGATACTCCAAAAGCATTAAAAAAAAAAATTAGTCTAAAAAAATTTTTTTAAATAAATAAATAAATAAAAATTCAATCTTTGGATCCAGCTGTGCCTGAATCCAGAGCTTGCCTCTCCCTTTTTTCTCTAAGCTAAAGGGGGCTTTCGCTGTTACGTGCAGTCAAAGGAGCCCATCTAATGAGGCACAGGACGCAGAAGGAAAGGGCTCACCAGCAAACTTGATGGCTGTGATGGAGGAGGAATGGTCATCCAGGGTCTGCTCCAGGTTGTAGTTCTTCTCCACGTTCAGCACGTGGATCAGTCGGTCCCGACTGGCTGAGGCCAGCAAGGTCAACCCTGTGGATGGAAAGGGTGCCACTGGGTTTCTGGGAGGCTGCTTGATGGCTTGGCCTCCCAGAGAGCAGTGTGACCGAGCTTTCCTGGCCTTGAAGAAGGAGTTCGGTTTCTTAACTGCAGTCAACTTGCCACAAACCCAGAAAGGGGCCACTCCCCCTACTCTGTGCAGTCTTTCCCCAGAGCCCCAAACCTTGGCATTTCACATCCCTTGCCACCAGTTCCTGCAGGATTAATCTTGATGTACACGTGGACACTCCTCCACTTGTGCCCACACCAGACATTCCAGCAGAGCCCAGCATTCCTCCCTACCAAGTCCAGCTACTTGGCAGCCACATGAGGCCCTGCCAACTTCTCAATCTCCCCAAAACACTGCCCCCTCACTCTCTGAGCTCTGGCTACATGAACCTCATCTAGGCCCTACTGACCACATGCTGCCACCCTTCCTTCAGCCACTGGACCTTCGTGCTGGCCGCCTCAGACAGTGCCTAGCCTGGGCACCTGCTATGTCTGAGGCCTAACACATGACCTGAGGTGGAGGGGAGCTCGGGAGAGGTGTACTGAATGAAAAGAAATTTAAAGAAAATTTGGTGGGGCAGAGGGTGTGGGGGAAGGAAGAGCATGGGAAAGAACATTAACATTATCAGGACATAACTCCACCTACATTATATTCCTGCCAAAAATGTATCATCGGAATCAAATCATGAGGAGAACAACAAACCCAAATTGAAGGAAATTCTATAAAATGACTGATCTATATTCTGCAGAAAGCCAAAGTCATAAAGACAAATTAAATAAGGCTGTGGAAATATTCCAAAACAAAGGTGACAGAAGAGCCACAACAACTGAAATGTGAACCGGGACTGGAAAAACAAAGGTGCTATAAAGGACAGCATTGGGACAACTGGCAAAATGTGAATAAGAACCCAAGATAGATGACAGATTTGATAAGATGCATATTTGATAAGTGCACTGTGGTCATGTAAATAGATGTCCCCATTCCTAGGAAATGCTCACAGAAGCATTTAAGGGTGAAAGCGCAGCATGCCTGCAACTTACTCTCAAGTAGTTCCGCAAATAATAATAATAATAATATACATGCTTTAATAATAATAATACACATGCTATTATTTTATTACAAGTGTATATATACACAGGTGTGCAAATACATAGAAATGGAAAGAGGGGAAGCAGATAATTCTGTCACAGGTCAGACAGGATTTAAAAGAAAAAACTTGGGGAGCCTGGGTGAAAAGGCTACAGGTATTCATTATAATATTCTTGCAACTTTTCTGTAAGCATCAAACTTTTTCAAAAGAATATGTTTGACTATTGATCTATCTTTATCTTCTCCAGCAGAGGAGGAGCTCATTCATATATTCACTCATTCAACCTTCACCTCTTTAGCCTGAGCTCTGTTCGGGGCACTTGGGGACCAGGGTAAACAAGTCGAGTCTTGCCCTGTCATTCACGGTCCCACCAGACACCAACTACTCCTCCCTGTGGCTCTGCCAGGCAGGCTGCTCCCCTGCCATGGGCTCACCTGTCTCAGGCTTGGAGTACTCCAGGCACAGCACCTCAGCATCATGGGCCTCCACCTTGACCAGCTCGTCCATGAAGTGCAGCTCGTGGATCCTGAGAGATACACACTGCCTGCTGTACCCTGCCTGGCGCCCCCACCCCTCAGCTCCAGGTGCTCTGCCACTACTAGAAAAGGTCAGAGCAGCCAGGTAGGCGACGTGGAGAACACCCTACCCTGGCCAAGTAGTCTACAGGTGCCCAACCGGTTTCTCATCTAAAAACCTGCCAAGCCTGCGAGAACCTCAGGGGGCACCCCGCCCCTCCTGGTTCCATGGGTAACACCTAGGATGGTCTTCTGGGGGAACAAAGGTTAGGGTAGGGATATATCAGAGGTGATTCCTGGGGCTGGGGCAGGGGTCAGAGGTCATACTCAAGGATAGGACCCATGGGTGGGAACATTTGATTCCAATCTCTCATTCTTTTTTTTTTTTCTTTTTTCTGGTTGCCCTCTGTGGCTTGTAGGATCTTAGTTCCCTGACCAGGAATTGAACCCAGGCCCTCAGCAGTGAAAGCGTGGAGTCCTAACCACTGGACCCCCAGGGAACTCCCTCTCATTCTTAAAGAGTCTCAGATCCAGACTTTCCTCATAGTCTTGCCAAATGAAATCAGACAACAGGTCATCCAGGACTGAAATAAGAAATAATCATTCCAGCTTCTCCACTCTCTACCCGTGTGACCTTAGCCAAGCCACTTGGCCTCTCTTCCCTCAGTGAACCCATCTGAAAGTGGAATGAATAACAGTACCTACGCCAGAGGGTCGGTGAGAGGATTAAATCAGTCAATACCCATGGTACTCAGGCCAGCAGCCAGCCTGGGGGAAGATCGCTATGCCCATGTTACCTCTTCTTACTGTTTTCACCATTCACAGCCGAGTGCTGTCAACGGGAGCAGCCCCCTGACACGGTCAGTTTGCCTCATGCAGTGACTGACATCACAACAGTTGCCAACATTTAAAAACCATGGAATTTCACAGAAAAAATCTGCACTTTATGTTCTTCTTAGACAATGGGAAGATATGACAACTTGGAGCCTATACTACTGGTGCTGCATGGTGGCTACCCTGTTATGGGGCACATGCTCTCCAGTGCCCCAGTCCCTCCCATTCTGCAACAGCTCTACTACCCAGGTGGTCACAGCTGTCATTCGCCACCTTAAACCTGATCCCTGTGACAGGGCTCATATTCTGTCAGCACCTATTGGGCCTGTCACATCTTGAAAAACCTCTGCAGGGTGGTAAACAGCCCGAGCCCTCAGATGTCCCATCCTCTGGTCCCTCTCTCAGGGCCACCAGAAATGCCAAGCTCCAGCTGGCATCTTCTCTGATGGTTCAG